GCACGTCACCGACGAGATCAAGCAATTCGTGGTCGAGGGCAATGAGGGCTACGATTTCGTCCTGTGCGAGATCGGCGGCACCGCCGGCGACATCGAGGCGATGCCCTTCATGGAGGCGATTCGCCAGCTCGGCAACGATCTGCCGCGCGGCAACGCGGTCTATGTCCATCTGACGCTGATGCCGTGGATTCCGGCGGCGGGCGAACTGAAGACCAAGCCGACCCAGCATTCGGTCAAGGAGCTGCGCTCGATCGGCATCGCGCCCGACATATTGCTGGTGCGCGCCGACCGGCCCATCCCCGAAGCCGAGCGGCGCAAGCTGTCCCTGTTCTGCAACGTGCGCGAAAGCGCCGTCATCCAGGCGCTCGACGTCAAGAACATCTACGACGTGCCCAAGGCCTACCACGGCGAGGGGCTGGACGCCGAAGTGCTCGCCGCATTCGGGATCGAGCCGGCGCCCAAGCCCCGCATGCATGTGTGGGACGATGTGTGCGCCCGCATCCACAATCCCGAAGGCGAGGTCACCATTGCCGTCGTCGGCAAGTATACCGGCCTCAAGGACGCCTATAAATCGCTGATCGAGGCGCTTCACCATGGCGGCATCGCCAACCGGGTGAAGGTCAACATCGAATGGATCGAATCGGAGATCTTCGACAGCGAGGACGCCGCGCCGCACCTTGAAAAGGTGCATGGCATCCTGGTGCCGGGCGGCTTCGGCGAACGTGGCGCGGAAGGCAAGATCAAGGCGGCCAGCTTCGCCCGTGAGCGTAAAGTGCCCTATTTCGGCATCTGCTACGGCATGCAGATGGCTGTGCTGGATGCGGCGCGCAACCTGGCCGGCATCGATGACGCCGTCTCCTCGGAGTTCGAAAAGCCGGGCACCAACGTGGTCGGCATCATGACCGAGTGGCTGAAGGGCAACATGCTCCAAAAGCGCACGCGCGAGGGCGATCTTGGCGGCACGATGCGGCTTGGCGCCTATGACGCGGTGCTCGAAGAGGGCAGCCGGATTGCGTCCATCTACGGCGATACGCGCATCTCCGAGCGCCACCGGCATCGATACGAGGTCAATATCGAGCACAAGGACGCGCTGGAGCAGGCCGGCCTGACGATTTCCGGCCTGTCGCCGGACGGCGTGCTGCCCGAGACGATCGAATATGCCGACCATCCCTGGTTCATCGGCGTGCAGTATCACCCCGAACTCAAATCGCGCCCGTTCGAGCCGCATCCGCTGTTCGCCAGCTTTATCGAGGCGGCGATCGGTCAAAGCCGGTTGGTATAGTCGTCATCCGCCGGCCCAATATTCCGGGGTTCGGCGGTTTACTTTGCCGAAACCCTATCATGTTTCCCTGTCTTGCTGAGGAGCGGGGGAAACCGAGTGACACGGGCCAAGGGCAGCTATCTGGTCGACGACTATCTCGAGGTCGCCGATTTCTGGGCCTGGGAAACGGACGAGAACCTCGTCCTGACCTATCTCAGCAACGGGTTCTCCGAGCTGACCGGTCTGCCGGCCCGCGATTTCATCGGCCGATCGCGCTCGCAGATTGCCACCCGCGATCTCGATGCCGACATCTGGACCGAACATCGGCGGACGCTCGAAGAGCGCCGGCCGTTCCGCCGTTTCCGCTATCCGCTGGAAGCCAGCGACGGCTCCGTGCGCTGGTTTGAATCGAACGGCATTCCCCACCACGGCCCCGATGGCCGTTTCGTCGGCTATCGCGGCGTCGCGCGCGATATCACCGAGCAGATGCGGGATCGGGCGTTGCTGGCGGCGACCGGCCGCGAGGCAAAGCTGCAGCAGACCCTTCTGGCCCATATCGAGCGGGTGTCGCGCATCGGCGCCTGGCGCTGGGCCGTCGGCGACGGACACATCTCGATGAGCGACGAGATCTACCGCATACTGGGGGCGCCGATCGGCGCGCCGATGACGCCGGAAATGTCGAAGCGTCCGTTTGCGCCGAAATCCCGCGCGGTTTTCCAGGCCGCGATCGCCGAGGCCATCAGGCACCAGCAGCCTTTCGATCTGATTCTCGAGCTGGATGCTTCGGCCAGCGCGCATCGATGGGCCCGCGTGATCGGCGAGCCGGAGGTGGTGGACGGGCGCACGGCCCGGCTGTTCGGCACATTCCAGGACGTGACCGAGCAGCGCGAACAGGAGCTGAAGATGCGGCACCTGGCGCTGACCGACGCGCTGACCGGGATCGCCAATCGCGCCGCCTTCAACGAAAAGCTGGACGAGGTGGCGGAAAAGGCGGCCAGGAGCGGCCGCAGTTTTCTGCTGTGCGTGATCGATCTCAACCGTTTCAAGCAGGTCAACGATCAATACGGCCATGATGTCGGCGATCAGGTTCTGGTGCGTTTTGCAGACCAGTTCGGGTCGGCCTTGCCGCAGCACTGGTTCTTCGCGCGGATGGGCGGCGACGAGTTCGCCGTCCTGATCGGCGACGGGCACAGGTCGATCGAACTGACGTCTGCCGTCGATACGCTCTATGAGGCGCTGCAGCACGAAGTCGAGATCGCCGATGTCAATGTCACCGTGCAGGCCACCGCCGGATACACCGTCGCACCGACGCACGGCACCGACGTGCAGGCCTTGCTGCGGCGCGCCGATCTGGCGCTTTACGACGGCAAGCGCGACGCGGCGACCAATCTGAAGTGTTACGAGCCGGAAATGGAGGAAAGCTTCCATCGGCGCGTGCTGGTCGTCCAGGAGTTTGCCGATGCGCTGAAACAGGGGCGCGTGGTGCCCTGGTACCAGCCGGTTGTCGAACTCTCGAGCGGCCGGATCACCGGGATGGAGGCGCTTGCACGCTGGGATCATCCCGAACAAGGCATTCTGACCGCCGGCCAGTTCGTCGAGGTTTTCGACGATGCAAGGGTCAGCGTGGAGTTGAGCAATGCGATGCTGGAGCAGGTCTGCCTGGACATGGCGGACTGGCAGCAAAAAGGCGGCTCCTTCGGCCGAATCGGGATCAATGTCACGGCAGCGGTGCTGCGCCAGCCCGGCTTTGCGCTGCGGGTGATCGAGGCGCTGTCGCGCCATGGCCTGCAGCCGCACAATTTCATCATCGAAGTCACCGAAACGACGATCATCAGCCATGCCGCGCCGGCGGTGACGGATCAGCTCAGGCATCTGCGGGAAGCCGGCGTTTCGATCGCGCTCGACGATTTCGGCACGGGTTACTCCTCGCTGACCCACCTCAAAAGCCTGCCGTTCAACATCCTGAAGATCGACAAGTCCTTTATCAAGGATCTGTCGCGCTCGGCGGCCGACCAGTCGATCGTCCGTTCGCTGATCCATCTGGGCCGAGACCTTGGCTATACGACGGTGGCAGAGGGCATCGAGGTGCAGGCCGAAGCCGAATTGCTGCGCAGGATCGGCTGTGAAAGGGGGCAGGGGTTCCTGTTCCACAAACCGATGCCCAAACGCGATGTGGATGTTCTGATCGGTGCCGATATCCGCAGGGCCGCCGAGCCCGCCCGATAGCGTCCGGAGCGCTCCGCGCATCATCTTGCCTTGCTATTGGCACAATTACCCGCCATATGGGGGCATCGACACTTTTTGGCCCGACGTACTTTGGCCTCGCGTTATCCACGCCTGCTGACGTTCTCACTTCCAAAAGACGACTCGATCGGAAAGCGGCCCGGCTTGGCCGCACGTCACTAAGCGTTCAACGAAAAGGATGACGCAAATGGCAACAGGTACCGTCAAGTGGTTCAACGCCACCAAGGGTTTTGGTTTCATCGAGCCTGAAGCAGGCGGCAACGATGTGTTCGTGCACATCTCCGCGGTTCAGCGCGCCGGCATGCACGGCCTCGACGAAGGCCAGAAGATCAACTACGAGGTGGTTCAGGACCAGCGCTCGGGCAAAAGCTCGGCCGACAATCTGACCGCGGCCTGATCGACCCACATATCCCATAACGGGATCACCAAACGAAAACGGGCCTTTGCGGCCCGTTTTTTGTTTCAGGCACCGTCCGGCTGCATCGAATGCGCAACGCGCAGCGTCTCGGCGGATTGCCGGACAAGTCCCGCGATCTGCGTCAATTGCTTGGCAAGCGGGCTCGTCCGCCGCCAGATCATGCCGACCGTACGCGACGGTTGCGGGTCGCCGAAGCGCGCGACCGAGACCGATGCCGAGCGCGTTTCCACCGGCACCGCCATTTCCGGGATCAGCGTGACGCCGATGCCGGCGCCGACCATCTGGACCAGCGTCGACAACGAACTGCCGTCCAAAAGCTCGCGCGGCAGCGGCGAGCGCAGATTGCAGAAGGACAGCGCCTGATCCCGGAAACAGTGGCCCTCTTCAAGCAGCAACAGCCGCATCTCGCGCAGCATTTCGGGGCTCGGCACCGGCTTGCCGGCGTCGGCGCCCGGCCGGACGAGCACGAAGTCCTCCTTGAACAGGGCCGTCTCGGCAAAGGACGGTTCTGATACGGGCAAAGCAACGATTGCGGTGTCGAGCCGGCCTTCGGTCAGTTCACGCATGAGCTTTGGCGTAACGGTCTCGCGCACCCGGATATCGAGATCGCCATGGGTCCGCGCCAGATCGCCGATAATGGTCGGCAGCAGGTAGGGCGCGATGGTCGGAATGACGCCGATGCGCAACCGACCGGCCAGCCGGTCACGCGATGCCCGCGCGAGGTCCCCCAACTCGTCGACGGACCGCAGGATCGCCCGTGCGCGTTCAGCAAATTCGTCGCCGAATCCGGTGAGCCGGACCTGCCGTGGGCCGCGCTCGAACAATGCCGTGCCGAGCGCATCCTCCAACTCCCTGATCTGCATGGAAAGTGCCGGCTGCGAGATGGCGCACGCCTCCGCGGCCCGTCCAAAATGGCCGTGCCGGGCCAAAGCCTCGAAATAGCGCAGCTGTTTCAGCGTCAGGTTGTTCATAAGGTGAGCTTATCGCACAAATCAGCAAATACAACTTCACCTGATGAGCCTAGTTTGGTACGATTCTAAAGAGCCCCAAAACCCACGCGCATATTCGGAGGAACCCATGAACGCTCCCACCGGCGAAATCACCGGCAAATGTCCCGTGATGCACACCAATTTCGGCGTCCGGTCGAACCGCGACTGGTGGCCGAACCAGCTCAACATCAAGATTTTGCACCAGAATTCGGCGCTGACCGACCCGATGGGCGGCGCGTTCGACTATGCCGAGGCGTTCGGCGAACTCGATCTGGACGCGGTCAAGAAGGATCTGCACGCGCTGATGACCGACAGCCAGGACTGGTGGCCGGCCGACTACGGCCATTATGGCGGCCTGTTCATCCGCATGGCGTGGCACAGCGCCGGCACCTACCGCACGGCGGACGGCCGGGGTGGGGCTTCGTCGGGTACGCAGCGTTTCGCGCCGCTCAACTCCTGGCCGGACAACGCCAATCTGGACAAGGCGCGGCGCCTTTTGTGGCCGATCAAGCGCAAATATGGCAACGCGATCTCCTGGGCCGATCTGATGATCCTCGCCGGCAATGTCGCGCTCGAATCGATGGGCTTCAAGACGTTCGGCTTTGGCGGCGGCCGCGCCGATATCTGGGAGCCGGAAGAGGACATTTATTGGGGTTCGGAAACCGAATGGCTCGGCGATGAGCGCTACAGCGGCGAGCGCGATCTGGAAAATCCGCTCGCAGCAGTTCAGATGGGCCTGATCTACGTCAATCCCGAAGGCCCCAACGGCAAACCCGATCCGGTCGCCTCGGGCCGCGACATCCGCGAGACCTTCGCCCGCATGGCGATGGACGATTACGAAACCGTGGCTCTGACCGCCGGCGGACACACGTTCGGCAAGACCCATGGCGCGGGCGACGCCGCTTTGGTGGGCCCCGAGCCCGAGGGCGCGCCGATCGAAGCGATGGGCCTTGGCTGGCTGTCGACCCATGGCAGCGGCAAGGGCGCCGACACGATCACCAGCGGCATCGAGGGTGCCTGGACGCCCAATCCCACCCAATGGGACAACGGCTATTTCGACGTGCTGTTCGGCTATGAGTGGGAACTGGTCAAGAGCCCGGCGGGCGCCTGGCAATGGACGCCCAAGGACCTCAAGCCCGAGGACCACGCGCCCGACCCCGAGACCGGCGAGCGCAACCGCAAGATCATCATGACCACCGCCGACATGGCGATGCGCATGGACCCGATCTACGAGCCGATTTCCCGTCATTTCCATCAGAATCCGGACGAACTGGCCGATGCGTTCGCGCGTGCATGGTTCAAGCTGACCCACCGCGACATGGGGCCGAAAGCGCGCTATCTGGGCGCCGAGGTGCCGGCCGAAGACCTGATCTGGCAGGATCCGGTGCCGGCGGTCGACCACGCGCTGATCGACGATGCCGACATCGCCGGTCTGAAGGCGAAAATCCTCGCATCGGGCCTGTCGGTGGCCGAACTCGTCTCGACGGCCTGGGCCTCGGCCTCGACCTTCCGCGGCTCGGACAAGCGCGGCGGCGCCAATGGCGCGCGCATCCGCCTTGCGCCGCAAAAGGACTGGGAAGCCAACGATCCGGCGCAGCTGGCCAAGGTGCTCGATATGCTCGAAGGCATCCAGCGTGCCTTCAACGACGGCGCCTCGGGCGGCAAGAAGGTCTCGCTTGCCGACCTGATTGTGCTTGCAGGCTGCGCGGCGATCGAAAAGGCCGCCAAAGATGCCGGCCATGACATCGCCGTGCCGTTCACACCGGGCCGGACGGATGCGACCGACGAGCAGACCGACGCCGCCTCGTTCGATGTGATGGAGCCGATTGCCGACGGCTTCCGCAACTACCAGAAGGGCGACTACACGACCTCCGCCGAAGAGATGCTGATCGACAGGGCCCAGCTTCTGACGCTGACCGCGCCGGAAATGACGGTGCTGGTGGGCGGCATGCGGGCGCTCGGCGCCAATGCCGGGCAGAGCAGCCATGGCGTCCTGACCGACCGGCCGGGCACGCTGACCAACGACTTCTTCGTCAATCTGGTCGATATGGGCACCACATGGTCGCCCGTGTCGGACAAGCAGGACGTGTTCGAGGGCCGCGATGCGGCAACCGGCGCGGTCAAATGGACCGGCACGCGTGTCGATCTGGTGTTCGGCTCCAACTCGCAATTGCGGGCGTTGGCCGAACTCTATGCCCAGGACGATGCGAAGGAAAAGTTCGTCGCCGACTTCGTCGCGGCCTGGACCAAGGTGATGAACGCGGACCGCTTCGATCTGGCCTGACCCGCCCGCTCGTCAAACCTCATGCGGCCGGCTCTTTCGAGGGCCGGCCGTTTTCTTTGGCACGTTGGGTAGCCATGCGGGACTGGCCAACACCGAAGGCGGAACCGGCCGAGCCAAGTGAAAAAAATCGAAAACCGCTTGATTTTGTTGGTGAGCGCGCAGGGGCTCGAACCCTGGACCTACTGATTAAAAGTCAGTTGCTCTACCAGCTGAGCTACGCGCTCCCGACAAGGGAAACCGCGCCGGGATGCCGGCGCGGGCAAAGGGTCCATACGCAAAGCCGGCGGTCCGGTCAACCGGGTTTCCCGCAGCCGAACGCCAATGACATTGTGCCGCGCCGCATCACGCAATTGGCATGTGATTGCGAACGTCGTTCTGTGTTAACAGCGACCAAATCCCGGCCCTGAAGCCGGGCGAACGAACCCGAAGGCATAGCAACCGCACGGCCATGGCGATCGACATTTCCTATCTAAGCGCATTCGGCGCGGGCATGATCTCGTTCGTCACGCCCTGCGTGCTGCCGCTCGTTCCGCCCTATCTGTGCTACATGGCCGGCGTGTCGATGGACCAGTTCCGCGACGCGGACGGCGACCCCGGCATCACGCCCGACGCGTCGGGCGCGGCGACAGCGCGCCTGACCGCGGTGCGTCTGCCGCTCATGACCGCGGCTCTTGCTTTCGTGCTTGGTTTCTCAACCGTCTTCATCGCGCTGGGGGCTGGCGCTTCGACCATTGGCGGGTTCCTGCGCGTCTGGCAGACCGAGTTGGCCATGATCGCCGGCGTCGTGATCATCATCATGGGGCTGAATTTTCTCGGCCTGTTCCGCATTGGCCTCCTGTCGCGCGAGGCGCGGTTCCAAAGCCGGGGGGTGCCCGCCAACCCGGCCGCCGCCTATGTGATGGGGCTTGCCTTCGCCTTTGGCTGGACGCCCTGCATCGGACCGGTCCTGGGCCCGATCCTGACGCTTGCCGGCGCCCAGGACAGTGTCGGGCAGGGCGCGAGCCTTCTGGCGGTCTATTCGGCGGGCCTCGGAATTCCGTTCCTGATTGCGGCGATGTTCTCGGGCCAGTTCATGCGCTTTCTGACTCGCTTTCGCGCGCATCTGGGGACGGTCGAAAAGCTGATCGGCGCACTTCTGGTTCTCGCCGGCATCCTTTTCCTGACCGGCGGCATGCAGGCGATGGCCTTCTGGCTGCTCGAACAGTTCCCGGCCTTGGGGCGTCTCGGCTAGGCCAAGAGCAGGTCAAGTCAGGTCAGGCCCGCCGCGCCCTTGCGCAGATTGACGCCATCGACGCGCCATGTGCCGTCGTCCTGCAACTCCATATAGTAGACCGCCGTCCAATCGCTGCCGTCCGGCGCGCGGATCAGCACCTCTTGGATGATCCGCCCGTCGGCCATGCGGTCGGCGCGGCCGAACGCGTAATTGCCGGGCCGAAGCACGGGCAGATAGCCGCGCTCGACCATCGACATGAAGCCGTCCAGCGTCGGATAGATTCGCTTGATGTCGTCGGACGCGTAGCCATAGGCGCGCTTAAAATCGCGCGCCAGAAAGCTCTCGAGCTGCTCGGTGATGACGTTGCGTGCGGCGTTCTCGTCGGCATGGGCCCGATCCAAGGGCGCCAGAAGGAAGGCGAGCGCGAAGGCCATGGTCGCGGCGGCGGCAAGGGCCAGCGGGATGAAACGGGGGCGTCTGGTCATGGCAGGTCTCCTCTCGTGCATGGAAAAGTAGGCCGCGGCGGGCGCTTGGCAAATCCCCGGCGTCGATGCCGAGGCCTTGCTTGCGCGGCGCCGGCAAATCGGGCACACGGGCGCCATGACCGGCCGTGCCATCTCGCCCTATCGCCCCCGCGCCTTCGACCATTGCGTTCTGCCCGTCGGGGAACTGAGCGTGGCCCGCGCACGGCTGACCGCCCTGGGCTTTCAGGTGGCCGCCGATGCCAAGCATCCGTTCGGCACGGAGAATGCCTGCGTCTATTTCGACGACGGCACGTTTCTGGAACCGCTGGCAATCGACCAGCGCGAGAAATGCGAGCGCACGGCGCAGCGCGGCAACGTCTTCACCGCGCGCGATCAGGCCTACCGGTTCCGCAACGGCGACAACGGGTTTTCCGCGATTGCGCTTGGCACCGACAATGCCGATGCCGACCACAAGGGCTTCCGCCGCCAGGGCATTTCCGCCGGCCGCAAGCTGCTGTTCGGCCGGACGATGACCGATGGGTCCGGCGCCAAGGCGCGCGCCACCTTCAAGCTCGCCTTTGCGGCCGATCTTCGCTCGCCCGACAGTTTCCTGTTCACATGCCAGCGGGTGAACACGCCGGCGGTCGACCGGGCGGCGCTGCAAACCCATCCGAACACGGTGACCGGCACGGCGGAGATCATCGCCTCGGAGGCGAACCCGGCCGATTTCCAGTATCTGTTGCAGGACGTCATCAACAACCGCGCCACGCAGGCCCATTCCTTTGGCATTGAGATCGCCGGGGCCGATTTCACGCTCAACGTGATGACGCCGGAAGGTTTGCGCATCCATTTCGGCGTGGAGCGCCATGTGCCAACGCGCGGCCTGCGCTTCGAAGGCATCGTTTTCACCGTCGCCGACCCGGAAGCTCTTCGGGCATTGCTCGCCGAAAACGGCATCAAGACGCACGAGCACGGCTCTTGGCTGGTGGCCGACCGTGCGCCGGGTCAGGGCGCCTTTTTCGCCTTCGACATGCGGGGAGAAAGCCGATGAACACGATGGACGCCCCAGCCATGGCACCGGCCGAGACCGTGGCAGCCGGCAAGGTACGCTTCGGCAACCATCTGCCGCTCGCCATCATTGCCGGCCCCTGCCAGATGGAAAGCCGCGACCATGCGGTGATGATGGCCGAGGCGCTCAAGACAGTTGCCGACGATCTGGGCGTCGGTCTCGTCTTCAAGACGAGCTACGACAAGGCCAACCGCACCTCGCTGTCGGGCCGGCGCGGCATGGGGTTGGAGGCGGCGCTGCCGGTCTTTGCCGAAATCCGCGAACGGTTGGGCGTTCCGGTTCTGACGGACGTGCATTCGCCCGAACAGTGCGCAGCGGTCGCCGATGTCGTGGACATATTGCAGATCCCGGCTTTCCTGTGCCGGCAGACCGACCTTCTGGTTGCCGCAGCGCAGACGGGCAGGATCGTCAACATCAAGAAGGGCCAGTTCCTGGCGCCCTGGGACATGGTCAATGTCGCCGCCAAGGTGACCGGCAGCGGCAATCCGAATGTGCTTCTGACCGAGCGCGGGGCGAGCTTTGGCTACAACACGCTGGTCTCCGACATGCGGGCGCTGCCGATCATGGCCGCAACCGGCGCGCCGGTGATCTTCGATGCGACCCATTCGGTCCAGCAGCCGGGCGGGCAGGGCGCCTCGTCGGGCGGCGACCGGACCATGGTTCCGCCTTTGGCGCGCGCCGCCGTTGCGGTCGGCGTTGCCGGCGTCTTCATCGAAACCCATGACGATCCGGACAATGCGCCGTCGGACGGGCCGAACATGATGCCGCTTGGCGAGATGGAAGCCCTGTTGCGGCAATTGATGGCGATCGACGCGCTCGTGAAGGGCAGCTAACGCCCCGACCGACCACTTTGCGCGCCTCCAGCGGTTTTCCTTTTCACAAAGCTCGGCTAAGGCAGCGGCGACAGTGCCAAACGCGATCCTGAGGGGAATGCCAGCCATGGGTGCCATCATCGACATTATCGGACGACAGATCATCGACAGCCGCGGCAATCCGACCGTGGAAGTCGATGTGCTGCTCGACGACGGCGCGTTCGGCCGCGCCGCGGTTCCGTCCGGCGCATCGACCGGCGTGCATGAAGCGGTCGAACTTCGCGACGGCGGCGGCGCATGGCTCGGCAAGGGCGTCGGCAACGCGGTCGACAATGTCAACGGGTCGATCTTCGACGCCATTGGCGGCATGGACGCCACGGACCAGGCCAAGATCGACGCGGTGATGATCGATCTCGACGGCACCGACAACAAGGGAAAGCTGGGCGCCAATGCGATCCTGGGCGTGTCGCTGGCGGTCGCCAAAGCCGCCGCGCAATCGGCCGGCCTGCCGCTCTACCGCTACGTCGGCGGCACCAACGCCCACATCCTGCCGGTGCCGATGATGAACATCATCAATGGCGGCGCGCACGCCGACAATCCGATCGATTTCCAGGAATTCATGATCATGCCGACCGGCGCGGCCTCGCTCGCCGACGCGGTGCGGATGGGCGCGGAAACCTTCCACACGCTGAAAAAGAAGCTGACCGCGGCCGGCCACAACACCGGCATTGGCGACGAGGGCGGCTTTGCGCCGAACCTCAAAAGCGCCGAGGCCGCGCTCGACTTCATCATGGAAGCGGTGACCGAGGCCGGCTATGCGCCGGGCGAGGATATGCATATCGCGCTCGATTGCGCAGCGTCGGAATTCTTCAAGGACGGCGCCTATGTCTATGAGGGCGAGGGTGTGACGCGCAGCGGCCAGGAGCAGGCCGAGTATCTGAAGAGCCTGGTCGACGCCTATCCGATCATCTCGATCGAGGACGGCATGCATGAGGACGATTGGGAAAGCTGGAAGATCCAGACCGAGCTGATCGGCGGCACATGCCAGCTTGTGGGCGACGATCTGTTCGTCACCAACACGTCGCGACTGTCACGCGGCATCGACGAGGGCATCGCCAATTCGATCCTGATCAAGGTCAACCAGATCGGCACGCTCACCGAAACGCTGCGCGCGGTCGAAATGGCGCACAAGGCCGGCTACACGGCGGTGATGTCGCACCGGTCGGGCGAGACCGAGGATGCGACCATCGCCGATCTGGCGGTCGCCACCAATTGCGGGCAGATCAAGACCGGCTCGCTCGCCCGTTCCGACCGGCTGGCCAAATACAACCAGCTGATCCGCATCGAGGAAGAGCTGGGCGATCTGGGCCGTTACGCGGGCGCATCGATCCTGCGCTGACCGCTGGGCGGTTTGGGAAGGCGCGCCGCCGATTTCGGCGCGC